ATGTTCTGTAATCCGAACTATTCACTAGTCCGAACTACCCCTGGTCCCAATTAGTTCGGATTAAAGAGGTTCTACTGTACCAAAGTCTAAGTTATTTTTGAGTCAACGTAGTAAAATACATATTGTATTAAAAGATATGAAGTAACGTAAATAATGAGTCGAATTTACTTTCAGTGTCGGGAGGACAGTTAGCGCAACCCAAAGAACAATTCTACTCTACTTTCCATTGCCTTATATAACTCGAAATACAAATGTTAACCTGAAGAATACATAGTTGAGTATTCTACCAAAGAACACTAAATTAATTAACACACTTTATTTGCTCACCTCTTTCCATTAATTGTGTGAGTGTTGTGAACATGACTTGACATGCCATAGTGGAAATGGATCTGAGAAAATACATATGGTGTGTCTAGTGGACCTCCACACAGTGTCGGCTTCTGGTGAGGCCATTGACCTTGGATCCTGACTGAAGGGAAATGTTCATCAGTATAACATTGGAAAGTACTAAAAGCTTTGAAAATATTTTCAGAAATTTGTTTTAAAGACTAAAAAAAATTAACATGTATAGATGCCAGAATCCCCATACACAAATCACTCTAACAAGTGATTGATCTTTACCCTACAAGCAATTTTAGGGCCAACACAGCTTGCTGAAACCTGAGTAGATCAAGTGAATCTTCCACACGAGTAGAGGATACTGCTAAATTAATTTGCACTGTTGTGTTATTGCGGTGTTGGAGTTTGAAATGGGGAGCGAAGGACAATCTGTCATGAAATTGTTGTGTAATACGTCAGTGTCAGACAATTTTTTTTTTTTTTTTTTTTTTTTCAAAGAGGTTGGCGGGCCTCTTTTAACCTTGCATTTGCCCGTCCACATAGACTAAGCGCGCGTGTGTGGATCGTTTACAGCAAAGCAAGGAGTGAGCCGGTACAGTACAAAGGTGAACTGTACTGATAAAATGTTATCGGCAGTGACCAGGATCCGAACCCACGACATCGCTGCCTTGGCTGAATTTAATTCCATCATCAATGATAGAGCTTTGATTGTTCTTCCTGGTATATTGCAAAGTCTTCATAGGATGGAGGAAGCGTGACTTCAAAGGCTTGATGCCTTGGATTTAGCTTTATGACAGGAGATACATTGTACTGGTACAGAAGTACAAAGTACACACTTTAATGTTCTCAACAATAACACTATCAATTCATTTACTCACCATGTATATTTAACACACTATAGTAATTTTTTACTGTTAACAATGTTCGAAAAATCTCTTATTTAACATCCATGTTGAAAACTCAAAATGTTAATCAGTCTTTAAATTTTTGCTTAAATTGAATTCTTTACATTTGACAGTAGTACTATAAAAAATGCCAGCTTACCTGAATTTCCACTATTCCTCAATACTAGTTTTGAAGGAGGCTCAAAAAAGTTAAACCACTTAAGTCGTTTAGCCTTTAAAATTTCAACTTTCTCCAGAGAAATATCGATTGGGGAGACCACGCTGCTTTTTTGTTGTCTTATTTTGTTGCCAATTTCTTCTGCTGCAAGAGGCTCTGCAAATAAAAGAAATAGATTCTTATGTTTGGTCTTTTAAAATTAAAAATAATAAGATTCATATTAGATTTTGATGTAGGTAAGCTAAAGAAAATGTCTGTCAATCTTTTTTGACCAAAGATATTTTATTTAAAACATGAAATGGATACGGTAACACCTTTAGGTAATTACAGTATATGTAGTTAATTTGGAATAGTTGCATAACCTGAAGGATGGCACCCACTGGCCTTCTAATATAGAAATACCAAATAGTTAAAGACAAGAGAAGGTTTGGAGGGGAAGATGACATGGTGGAGAAGAAAATATGGATGCAATTTGTTGGTGAGAGCAAAAATGATTGAAGTGACCACAGGAGTAAGTAAAGTTGATTAATATTGTAGCTATTAATAATACAATTTTCTTAGCCAATATGATTTTTAAAATCACTATCCACACGGACAAGTTGTTATTACGAGCAACATCTCTTTGAGTGAAAATGAGTGTAATGTATAGCAGGTCTGCACAGATGATTCGAATAACAAAATAAATATTTCCATCACTTACCATCGTTACAATTATCCTCAGAAGCCATTATAACAGAACACCCTAGTACATAGTATGTGTTGAATAATCCTTCCGAAAGGTTGTGTCTGGAAAACAAAAAATAACAAAAATAAGGTAATAAAGGATCACAAAGATTTACATTTTGTCCAACAATAAAGCTACAAATAGCTGTACTCTACAAGTTCCCTGTAATTTCCACTTCCAGTCTAAGCAACGAGACAGCTAGACACTTCGTAACCACAGAGAAGTAAGGAATAGGGAGGGTACACTACATGGTACACTTAAGAGGTGTCTTGCACTAGTGCTGGTGTCTAGGGCAAAGTCCCTCGCCTGTATGTACTAACGCTCATGGTGGAGGAAGACCTCCCTATGCCATGTGCGATAGTAATTTCCGAACAGTGCTCGCTGTTTGGGCTCTTCCTTGCTCGTCACAAGTACATTTCTGGCACAACATACTAGAGCTGAAAGCACATGGTCGTCCCACAAGCATGTTCCTCTGTACCTTACTTCTCTGTAATAGACTACAACAAGGTAAGTTATTTATGTGATTACAGTGTTTTCTGTGAACTCTTTAAACGACAATAATCCTTTGAGCTAAAAGCACTTTGACATCATGAGTCACATAACAGAACCTTCTTTTATCAATGTTAGCATTACTAGAAAAATCTTAAAATTGTACCATCCATGGTTGATAACAATCCATGTAGATAACAAAAATTGAAAGGGTTCAAATCTTGCCTTGGTCAGGTCTGGTGGAAAATAGTGAAATAGGAGTTCACCTGCCTGGCAGAGCTGGGAAGGGAGAAACCAGTAGAAGGCTCAGTTGATAGAGTTCTGCCTTATGCCAGAGATTTCCTCTACTTTCGACTTAATCTTACTGTTTGACTAGAAACTGAAAACTTGTTTGTTCACAGGATAAGGAAAATCATAATAAAAATTGATATCAGTAAATTGATCAATATCTAAGGCTCAAAGGGTGGAAGGATAAAATTGAAAAATATTGCTTCACAGACTACTTACAAAAATAATGAAAATAGCACAATTTAAATATTTGAAGTAGTACCAATTAATTTTAACGTCAAAATTACAACTTTAAAACACACAACCTCAAATTTTGAATATATTTTTAAGACAGTACCTACTAATATTAAAATTTACCATATGATTTTATGACATAATTTAAAAATTTTGTAGAGACTAAAAGAAAAATATTGAAAAGTGATACAATTTCCTACTTTATTACTTTAATAACGGGTAAAATAAAATTATTTCACTCCTTATGTTGGAAGATATACATACCTATGCCTTATTTATTTGCCACCATTATGGATCAACTGGAGACAAATTAGAGATTTAATCTAAATAAAAAAAATATATATTTGAACATCAAAACATGCAGAAAATTTTACAGTATGAGGGAATTTACCATCAAAAGTCCATTCTATCCCCTTAATTAAGTAAAAACCAACAAATGAAAACTAAGTATTCCTTCAATTAATGAGATCCCTCTTAGAATAGATACAAGGCCTGTTTAAAAAGTATCCGACCTTGTTCAGGAAAATCATAATTTATCGATCAATTATTTGTTTTAACATGTTTATCTCTTTTAAAATAGTCCCCTTGGGACTTCACACTCTTATTCCAGCACTCCTGCCACTTTTGGAAACAAGCCTGGAACTCTTCCTTCTTAAAGGAGCTGTCCCATTTTGCATTATCTCAATTCTCCTCTGAAATCGGGTCCCTTTAAGCGGCATCTTCAATGTAGGGAACAGCCAGAAGTCACACGGTGTCATATCCGGTGAGTAGGGGGCCTGGCATTCCACAGGAATGCCATGTTTTGCCAAGCATTTGGATCTTAGCTTATGGGCATAAGCTAAGAGAAGCTGGTGATCAATCCCATCACTTATCAGATGTTGAAGATAGCTTCTTTAGATGATCTGGTACACCTTAAATCCTATATTGAAAGTGTCAAGCCAAGACTTGAAAAATAAAGAAAACCCCATCTAAAGATGAGAACAAAAATTATATTAAACTCGAACTTTGCCAAATGTCCAAGTGAAAAACCTAACAAAATCCCTCCACTAAGGCTTTTGAAATTAGAGATCTTCAATCAGTTTGTCCAAATGTAGATGTAGCATCGAGGATATTTGCAAGCATAGCTATATCAAACTGCTCACCAGAAAGATTGTTTTCATGCGTTGCAAGAGCAACATATTATTTAAAGCCGATCTTCTGAAGAAAGACTTATAGTTAACCAGCAGTCTTGAAAAATGAAGAAAAACTTACTGCTGAACTCCCTGGACTTAACTTGGACAGTTATTGATTCATTTTACAGGTTTAAACCAAGGAGAAAAGTGTTTAATTTGTTTGGATCAGCTGTCTGAAATAAGCTTTTGGCAGTCCTGCTTGTTTACATTAAAATGTCAATGCAAAGGTAAACATTGTGAATTTTTTCATGCTTCCATGAATACCAATTAATTATTAATATTTACTTTTGAAAACCTCACATCAAAACTTTAGACGTCGAAGAGGCGCAGCCCACAAGGAACTCTGGGAACTTCTGGGAAGTGAATAGGCCTATGAGGTTCCTAGATATGTGGACAATCTTTGTGCTTCATTTTGTATCGGTTTAGTATTTTAGTCGTGGTAGCTGCACAGACGGACAGACACCACCTCAATTTTATATTAGTATAGATGGATAAATAGATTTATTTTAGTTTGTATTGAGCCCCTGTACTTCACTTTTCTCAAATAAGAAGCTAGCTGAACTTTATCTTTCTATACAACTGCTAAATTTAGGCCTAACAAAAGTGTTAGTGATTCTTTTATTTGAAATTCTAGTGGCTTAGGCACAAACAGAAACACAAAAAGATTGAATAAAGGAGATTAAATACCACAATTTAAAACATCACAGTTATAAACATATTTAATATAAAATAAAACTGTACACAGAAGACGAGTGGTGAGAGATCCTAGCTTGAGCGAGCAGCGTATTACACAGCAGAAGGCGGTTATGTACATTACAAGGCTTTGTACATGGAGGTTAGGCTGGCCTGAATATCACCATGGTGACCAGTCCTGAAACATGACAAACCAATGTACAAAAACTAGTCTTTTAAGCTATTGGGTCACATATGAGGACCATTTGTTAGTGAATTCGTGAAGTAGTACAAGTATCAAAAGCTGCAGTATTCCGTGCATGTTCTAGGTGCATAGGAACACAAAGTTTCTCATGGAAAGAAAAACTATATTGGAATTGTTGAAACAGCTTCATGTATGGGGAATAATCAAAACTTAAAAACACTTGGTACAAATTGTGATTGATACTTTTTAAACACACACAACCAACAGACCTGATTGAAATGTGAACTACTGATTTTAATTGTCAAGAACCACACTTTTCAATTGTATAAATTCCAGGGTTGACAGTAAACAATTCTACAATTAACAAGAGACTAAAATCAATTAGTCTCAAATTTTCTAAAAAAATCACATTGAGATGAACAGGCCCAAGATTCGTTACTAGAAAAAGTTTTCTTTGAAAACATGACCCTTCACTTAGTTGACCATTGGTGGCCACAATGTTAACATAAAGTATCAAATTGTTTTGACATCAACTGTAAACGCCGCTCCTGTGGTTGGTACCACTGATAGCGTTTAGCGTTTCTCTGCACATCAGGTCAGCAGCCATCTTTCCAAATTATTTTTGGTTTTAAATGGCAAGGACAGCCAATGTGAAATTTAGACGTGCTGCTGTGTAAAAAACGCAGACAGTTCAGTTGGTACAATGATTAATACAACCTAAAAACAGTCTTTCCAATATCAAAGGGTTTAACAAAGAGTATTGTATAGAAATTTGTCCTGCTTAATTAGCAGAATTTACCTAGAACGTAGGAGACAACCAGTTTGACATTGACAGTGACTGGCCATGAGATTGCACTCTTCTCCCCTTCTAGCGGCAGACACAGGACTGCGATGCAGACTAGCGCAACAGCTGACAGAAACCATTGGTTGGGACCTGCAGATGCTTTATGGACAGGATAAGTTACAATCACTAAGGTAAAATAACAGTTTTAAGTTTCAACTTCTTCATTAATTGTCAAGTAGAGCGAGAAAGCATTACTTCGTTAGGAGGACAATATTGTTTTACTATTAAGAATACTGTAAGTAGATTTTTCACCTAATTATCAAATCTGAATTCTGTTTATGAATGTGATGGTGTATGGTGTTGATATAGACTTCACTGGAGGATCAGTGGTTAGTCTGTGGCTAAGCAGCTTGGATTTAGTTGTGTAAAAGAGATCTTTTACACATGTTATATATTGAAAAGCTTCTACTAGCACTTTAATACCAGCCAGGATTTTTTTAATACCAGGCAGATTACAAAGGGTTTTTTGTAGAAATTTTAAATTTCCGAAGCCAGAAGTTAAGGTTTTAGGTATAGGCTAAGCTGATAAATTCTGATAATATTTTGGTTCAATATGCTGCCTTCCCAACAGTACAGCAAGTTCCATTTCTAGTTATGCTGGATAACTTTGTAACCTCAATAGCACTTACCAGGTCTCTCAGATCGGTGACCGAGGCTGTACTGTCGCTGCGGCTGGGAGGGAGTGGAGGGGGGAGCTGCCAGACACTCAAACTCCTTGTCAGGTATTGACTTGTCAGGTTCACCAGTCACCAGAGTGGCAGTGACATCACGGCGACCTATCAGCTGATAAACATATGATAAGTTAAGATTGTGTTAAAGATTAAGTCGTGCATGTGATGGGAGAGGATTGTTCTTACAGTACAACAATTTAAACTTTAGTTTATTTATGAAATCTTGAGTAAAATATCTTACAATACAGTACAACCCATTCTGACCGCACCTTATTGAAACAAAATCCGGGATAACCGCAAACATCACAAAAACTGTTAATCAATTGGAATATGAGTTAGGCAACAGAAATGTTCCGCCCATTTCTACATAAATGTGGGAATGATTTAATTGATTTAATCTGCGTAAGTGTTTACCACAAAAGTTCCTTCCACACGATTTTAATACTATCTTATTGGTCTTCAAAAAGGAGATGAAACCAGTTAACATAGTAATAAGAACTCCGATGACGCACTCTAAATATTTCATTCATTGAATATCAAACCATATTTTATAACTTGTGCAATAGTCATTATTATTTTTAAAACCTATTTATTACTTATTAAACAAAGTTAAATGTTAAAGTTTTGATAATTTAATTCTATTTATCGCAGTTAAATGATTGAGTGTAAGCCTTGAAAGTATCCGTCAATTTCGATGGGTTTCACCTATAGTATCTATATAATTAATATGCTACATGAAACTTTGTCGGTTGTACTACTCCGCCATTTCTTAACCGATTTGATCCATTGACATCGCATTGGGAAGAGCGTGTCACGTAGATTTGCAAACTGACCTTACGTTTTTGAAAAAGTCCCTTGGGCTCTGCCCCAGTGGCTGTTAAAGTTCCCATGTTATTCTTATGAAGAACAAAATTGTTTACATTTTGATCAGCTGTGTATTATTTAATTGCTGTTATTTATTTTTCTATTCAAAGTCTTTTAAACTCATCGGAAATTATGATGACTTTTATTTGTTTTTAATAACTACTTTACTTCTTTGCAATTGCTCGATTCTGAGCAACGTGTTTACTAGTAAATATGATTGCATTGGCAGCTTAATCAAGTATAAGTTAATAGAAGGAAATATACAATGATAATCCCAGTAAAAATTAGATAAAATATTGTTACCAATTATCTCTTGGATAAAGAATTTTAATATTATCACCAAGGAATTCACCAAAACCACTTGACATGTTCTTTTGCTGTTTATCAACTACGAGACGTTTCTCAATGTAAACTAGGCCAAGGTTTCAATGAATAGAAAACAGTTGGCATTGTTTACAACCCTATCAAATCAAAGGTTACTGAAACGGAGCAAAAACCACTGTTTTTACTAGTATATTTTTAAAATGAGTTGGTAACTGAGATTTTCTCATGAAAACTACTTTTTCTTCGCATAAGCGGTTACATAATAACAGTGCCAATCAATCAATCAAAATACCTTTATTCCATTATAATATGTATACATAGTTACATGACATAGAGTCATCAGAACTATAATTAAGTTAATAGATACTGAGGTTCCCATCCCCCCAAAGCCAGAGGAGCAGTTCCCCCCATTTTATGCCCCCTCTATTCAACCCCCACCCCCCCACAAGTACTTGGCAATTTCCCCTTACCACATAAAACAAGCATTTCAAGTATTTACCAACTCGAGGTAAAGAAAAACAAACTTGCTGATAATCAAAATGAAATTTTTAATAGGAAACTTCATTTAACAATACAAAATTATATCTATTTAGACGAATTAGAGTCAGCCAACATTTTCTCAGTATTGCAATAGACAAACGTTCAACAATATACTAGATGAATTACTCCACTCCAACACAGTACTGTACAATATAATAGGTGATGAACATTTTTACAGGGCTTAAGAATTCAAACAACATTAAGTGAACAACTTTATGAATATTACTTTGGCAAAAAGTATCTTTTTTCAAAATTAGGCAGAGTCACGAAATAGGGCAGACTAGGAGGGGTTGCTCGCCACTTCCAGGCTGCCTTCTACAAAAATCGCCGGGCAAAAAAGGCCATAAAAGTCGCCCGTCTGGGAAAGGTTAATGCTTGTATTCACCTTAAAATTTTCACCCTAGTGTGTCGGCATCATACAAATAAAACATAATCTACATGTTTAATAGGTGAAAAGGCCAAAAATGAACATTAATGTTACTTTTATTATATATTTCAAGATTCTGAATGCAGCTGCAACCGTTTTACATCCTTACCTGTTTTGTAGAGAAGTCGTACATCTGTATCCGAAATTTGTCGACAATTTGACAGTTGACCAGGTTGACAGCTCCATGGCGAATCACAATGTCGATGCAGCACTTTGGTCTGATAGAACCCTCTGGATCAACTACTGTGAACTTCCTGGGGCTTGTGCTTAGAACTGGAAAAAACCAACAGCTTGGATACTAAAAGCACCATAAATTTGGCTTTGCAACAAAACAGTCAAGGGCACCAAGCATAACAGTTGAAGTGTTTTGATGTGTTTTCATTGATTTATTTATTCCTATTTTGATCATTTTCCTCCTCATCCAATGAAAACCTCCACCATTTTCACAGGAATGGAGTAGATGTTTCCACTAGGATCACAGTCGAAAACATACATGGTTTAATTGAAGTGGACCTCTCCCACCAAGCAATGCCACAAACACGTTATTTCATCAGAACGCCAGACCTAGCTGAATGGGATTCAAAACCTCAACTTTGAGAGCTATCTCCTTTCTAGGGGATAAAACCTCAGCTTGGCAGTTGATCAGACCTAATGGTCTATCTCCTGATTAAAACTGGTTAGGCCTATCACATTAACAAAAAATCTTGATTGTGGTTAATCTATACTTGACCCTTAAGTTGCAGAGTAACTCATCAGGTACTGTAACTGTAGATTGACTGTACCGTACCCTGACATTAGCCGTAACGGCTTTCAGCTTGTTTCTTTGGGTTAAAATCTCATAGATACCTTTAATGATAGACCTGGATAGACTGTGAAATTAAATTTTTATTGTTATTTCAAAGATAGAAACTAAAAATACTATGTACACTATTTAATATGTGTTAGGCAAGATTGCAATGTGCCTATAACTTGGTGCAACGCATCAAAGTATTCATAGACTGAGTAGAGACGTGGGTCGATAAGATATGCTTTGACTATTTTTTGGAAAGCAGACGGTTTACAAGTCTTAAATCTTTGGGGGAGATCATTGTACATCTTCAGAACCCCAATATATATTTTGACAATTTACCTGCCTGCGTGCAGAGGCACTCCTTAGGCGTTATGTGATGTATTTTAATAAATAAATAAATAAAATAATCCGGAAACAGCTTTGTGTTTTAGACATCCTGCAGTAGGGTATGTGAAGCTGGTCCCTGTTAGGAAGGTTGTGGGAGTGGTGGAATTCCCTTGTTGTGAGCTGGTCCAGATTATCTTTCACATAACAGACACTAAACAGTAAATACTGGCAGAAGATGGTGGGAATTTTTAGACTTCTGGCCTACAGTGTTCACTGTAACCCGCTGATGAAATGATCCAAAGCGCCTTTATTTGAAGGAGAAGAATATCCTCACATCTTGCAGCGAACCCAAAGAAAGGGTCCATAGGAAGAGGTGGGAATGAAATAAGCAATGTTAGGCAGTGATCAGGGAACGCATCGTCAACAGGGGTTAATGTCTGCAGAGCAGATGGACGACACGAGAGAGCTTTGTACAGACATTGTCCACTCCAGGTAACCTTTGGATCTATGGTGAATCCCGGCAACTCCACCTATATGAAAACATCAGCGTTTGTACGACTGAGAATACACACAATCTGTTGGGTTTTTTCTTAGTTGAGGCTCAGTCCGTTTAGTTGAAACCTGTTTTGGCCAACTCAAAAACTAGTTTATAAGTTAAAGTTTGGTTATTTTACTATTCAATACATTGACCTTTGGAGCTCAAAGAGTTGTATTTACATACCTTTAAACCGTACGGCAAAATCATACGGGTTGTACAATGTTAGGATTTGTTTATGCGTAGTCTGATCCTCCAAATAAAATGTAATTGTGTTAGGAAATACAAACACTGGGACCCTGCCATCTCCACTAGACTGCATTCCATTCAACTGCCTCTAGAACTTGAAAACCTAAAAAACATACGATTTGGTCACCAACTTACAGCCTATGGGGGACAAGGGAAAAAGTTTAGATACAAACTACTTAGATTCTATAAAAGTAATCGTTCATCATTTTAAGTTAGATTTTTAACTTAAAGAGCTGTGCAAGACTTCTTACTGGGCCTACTACATTTTATCTTTGGTGCATTAAGTAGAGGATTAAGTTAATTTTAATTAATTTCATTCATTAATATAGCACAACTTGGCTCAACAACAATGCAAGTATGTTAAGCTACGCTACCAAAAATTACACTTAATTCACAAAGCCTAGACTCAGGGCCGCTTTGATAAATGGGCTTGGGCCCAGGGGACACAAGAGTTTTAGGTTTGTTGGGGGCGCAAGGAAGTGAAAAATATTGTATTGGAATGAAACTGTTCTAAACTAACGTAACCAACCAAACTTGCCAACATATAAAAATTCCGGTTGATAGCCTATTCTCCATATGCCTTTTCTGTTATCAAACGGAATTTTGAAACAGTAACTTGGCCTACAGCAAAATGGTTAGTCATGTTAGGTTGGTTTAGAATAGTTTCATTTCTTAATCCAATATATAGGGTATTATTTTTTTTATTTTTTTTTTTTTGTTTTTTGCCTAAACATGATTAGTTCTTAATCCTATTCTCTAATACAAGCTATAACTCAATAGGTAACTCGGTTATTGAACCAAGTAGGCTATAACTTAGACCTATTTGCTATGTCTGTATTTGTTGTCTGTCTGTCTTTAATTGCGTTTGAAGATATTAAAACAGATGGAATATGGATCGCAAAGGAAAACAAAAATATCGATATATCAAAAAGATATCATCGATAATAATGAATGTTCCCCTTAACAGGAAAGAACCATTACTGGGTAAATATACGTGAGGTATGCATTTAAGAAGTTTTTAATGTGTGCATTTTTTAAAGGGTAAATAACTTTAACTTATGCTATTCGACAAGACGAGGCTTTGGACCAATGACTTCACAATAAAATTACTTAGGCCACCTACCTAGGTTAGGAGTTTGAGAGAAACTTTTATATCCGATTATAGAACCAATTCAATTGCTAACCAAAGGGTACACTTCCATATCTGTTGGCACATTCTTTTTTAGTTATAAGTTTGACGCAATCTATTCCGACATTGTCGGTCACCGATGCAGTGCTCAAGTATCAAGTAAGTATCAAGTAAGCACAAACAACTGAATGAGTAATATTGATTAAACACTAGGTTAACAAAGCCCAGACTTTCTATATCGAACAGAGTCGAATAGGCTATCAAAACTTTGAGACATAATCTTTGGTTGGTTTTTAAAAAACCTACAACAATAATTTAGCCTTCTGCTAAAGAACTGTTCATGATTATAATAGCACTCCGATTAATTTTGTACTTAGTAGACTACCAATATCAGGTTATGGGCCTAGTTATCATTCATTAATTATGCAAAACACTACCTGTGTGAGAGTGAGTGGACACAAATTTTGTGTTTTAGCCTCCTATAATAATTAAAGCCGAACTCGGGTAGGTATGTTAGCCTAAAACTTAGTTCTCAAAAACCAGATATGCACAAAAAGAATAAAAAATAATTAGGTACTGATGCATATAGCACAGTTCATGTTCAATATAAACAAATAAATTTATAATTTACTTGTCAAATAACTATGATCTTTGTCCTTGAATACTAATGATATTTATGCGATTGTATTTTAATTCTACATTATCAAAGCTTAAAAACTCTTACCTTTGACACTAAAAGTATTGATGGCCTACATAAACATATAAGTACTACGAATTTCCAACTTATAATTTGTAAAATTAGAAACAGGAAAACTTGTTTACTTTGTCCAAATTAGACAGCAACATCGACGACGACAACAACTTCAGGCAGCCACAGCGCCACAGCATCCTTTGTTTTGCTTCCCAGCTGACGTCTTGTTTCTTCTTGACGTACGAAAAACAGCTGAGCTCACTTCATTCTCATTGGTCGCCTGGCAACTGCGACGTAAGCGCTACTAACACAGTAACGGCTAGATTAGGTACTAAATCACTCAGTGAAAGAGTAGATCAGTTAAAACAAAACAATAATGTACGTATGTAATTTATTATTGTTTGGCTATGGTCGTATTTGTAGCCTATAGACGTCATAGATCGTTTTACAGTGAATAAAACCGCTGAGGCAATTTATTTTGTGTTTGGAATCACTCATAGCGGTGATAACACTGAGCTATATTGAATATCAGGAGGTTGTACTTCTCGACTCGTGGTAATTTCATGCCACCCACCACACCATCCAAGGTCCCACTATAAAAACAGGCCATGATTCAGCGCGGGCAGTGCAACACTACGTCACAGTGGTGGATAGTTGTAGCATAGATAAAACATGGTTGTAGGTACTAAAATCTTACCATTAAAATCTGACAAACGGCCAGCTTATTTACCTAAAACATATATATAGGATATGGCACATGGCACTGAATCCATCAATGAATCTATCCACTAATGTGACGTCATGGATCCTGCAGCGTGGCCTGTTTTTAGTGGGGCCTTGTGCCATCGATGAACTATAGTTATTTTTGTAACTATAGTGGGCGGGGCGAGGTGGGTGAGGCCCCGAAGGTCGTACTTTGCTGCACACGAGAGAAATGTTTACGCACGTGCCGTGCCGTAGGCGAGTGTGAAAAGTTTCTCGAGTGCAGCAAATGCAATTTGCACTCGTGGTACACAATGCTGGTGAGAGTTGGTGACACATATTTTTCCTACCTACAGTTAACATTATAAAGCATAGAGGGGGAGCGAGCTGGTCTAGTGGTTAGAGCGCGGGACTCCGGTTCCTGGGGTCCCGGGGTTAAATCCCGCCAAATCACCAATGGTTTTTATCTAAGTGATAATGCCGTAACCCCTAGGTCTAGCCTGAAGTAATGTGAAAAACAGTTCCGGGCTCGTGCCTAGCGTCCTAGAAAAAAAAGAGAAATACAAAAATAAAAAAAATATTAAGCATAGAAATACTGCATAGTCTTGCTAGCACGTTTTGTTTTAGGTTAGGTTAAAGACTATGTTTTATCATAGATAATACATCCTAGCGTTGAACAAAGTGGGAAACACTGCAGCAGCTTATCGTAGTCGTATTATCTTTAAAGGTACGTTTCCATTCCTACAAATTTGTGCCAGGAACATGTGCCCGCCGTGTGCCCGGCACAAATCTCCGAATTTGTAGGGCCGGCCGCACACCTGATACAGCACGGCACGGCAAGGCGACTTGAGCACCCACATGGTCGATCCCATGGTTTCAGTAAAGTGAGATACTGTGTGTTATGAGGTTGTTTGTACATTTTGTGACACTTTGTACTACACATTTTGTGAGAATGGATGCAGAAGGCGAGAAGGCGAAGAAGAGGCTGCTGCCATCGCTGCTATATGATGATCTCCCTAACAGAGAATCGTGGGTGCATCCCATCAACCAAAAAAGGAACTTGAAACCATTCATTGCAGAACTAATAGCAGATCCGGAAAAAATCATAATTACTAATCGTTGGAAGTGCACACTGATTTTGACAGGGGCTGTCACTGCGCTGAACGTGGTGTCGATCCTCGCGCATGCGCACATCGTTTTGCCTCAAGCCTTTTGCCCGAAAGACGAAAATTGAAAAGGCAGAACAAAGCGCCGTACGGCGCTATTTTGCCTTGCCTTGCCGTGCCCGATGATGTGTATGGCACCCCCATTTGAAATAATAGAAATCTAGTCGCATAAGGCGCCTTAAGGCAAAACGTCGCGCCGTGCCGTGCCGTGCCGCATCAGGTGTGCGCCCGGCCTAGGAATGGAAACAACCTGGCACAAATTTGTGCCCGCCGACTACGCGACAAAACATGTGTGTCCATCTGGAATGGAAACGGCCAGGTACATGTGGCCGCAACTTGCACATGCGCAGGTCTGCAGAACAACTACCGTTCCCACACACTTTAACATTTTAAAAGCTATCGGAAGTAGGAATTTTACGAAATATATTTTTATTTTGAAATTTTGACATTTTTAACAAAAGCAAATTGTAATATTTCATAAAGAAAACTTGATAACAACAAATGGATTGGGGCATTGAGTTTAGCTTAAAAAAATAATTCGAAATTATGGGTCATAACACCCCCTTAACATTTAAAATAATTTATCACAATTAAAAATGGTGGATCCAAGATGGCGGTCGAAAAAATGCATCCGTCATAACCAAGTGAAAATAGGTCAACAATTACTTTTAGTGTATACTCATCTTTAATTAGCACTATTTTGAGATTATGGTCTTAGTTTGTAAATGCACAATTTTAAAATGGGCTAAAAATAAAGTTATAAAAAGCTCTTATAAATTTGGAATGGATCAAGATATTTTTAAACGGTTATTGGCATTGTAATGAGGATAAAAATCTAGTTCGAAATAATGGGTCAAAACCCCACCTTCACATTTGAAAAACATATTTTGCATCCAATATGGCGAATCCAAGATAGCGGCCGAAAATGACCACCTTGTCAAAATGAAGTAGGCCTATTCACCAACAATGTTTGGAAGTGGTCTGGGATTGATATTTGAAAAAATGTAGAAAAAAAGGCACGTTCATGAATTCTGCAGTAGGCCTACCGTACTAAGATAGATATGGTACTACCAAAATTGCTGGGCTTCTGAGTGCAGTTATAAATATGGGAATTGGGAATGTACTGTATGTCGAGAGTAGTGGATCGTGGATATATTTCTAAATAAAAAAACATACGTTGTACAAAAGGACGTTGAATATGGCTCTTCTAACATGGTGTTATGCTGTATAGCCTAATAGGTTTGCATAACCGTAACTTATACTAAATTGCACCGTTTATAAGATTAGTAATTTAGATTGTCCCTGCACTGTAATCGCAAAACATCGACTGACACTACAATACCCCCGCCGCAGCAAACCTGAAGACTACGAATGTCCATTTACCTAGTTGGGTTTCACAATGGTTTCGTTAAAATAATTACCTAAAATTGTTGAATTTATTTCTGATTTAAATAGCATTAATTGTATTCCTAAAGTAGGTTAGGAATAGTAATCAAGTGTGTTTATTAAAATGTTCATAGTTTAGTATGAAATAAACAAATTTGTGGCATTTGATATAATGAACAAGAATATACAACGGTTTATTTATCCTCCATAAAAATAGCACAAGCATTTAAATGTACATTATTTTCTTCATATCCATTAAGTGTAAAATAATGCTTCACGTTCACTTTAAGCTACTAAATTTAAATTATCTACTATTTTAAGGTCTAAAATATACATGGGAAATTGGTAAAAAGGAGAACAAATTCCGCTACTGAGGTGTAAGTATGAACCCGGTTCTATTTGATAGACATACCAAAGTTCCAGTTATATTATAAAGACAGGTAGAGAAGTGAATCTCTTTCGACACCTAGCAGCATCGGTCCTCCGGTCAACCTAACCAAACGGCGCTGTATATATGTCGACGCGCTTCCACTACTTTCCTGCGAGAACCAAGTATAATTGTAGCAAAAGTTTTACATTACATAGCTGTAAAACTGCTGAATAACTATTTAAATTGTTATTCGTAATATGATTCACAAACCATGAGTGTTTAGAGTCCTTACAAAAATATCTAAAAAGAATAAGTTGTAAGTTCAGAGGTTTCATAATAGTCCGAAACTGAACCCAGGCCTCAAAAAGCGTGTATCTTAGTCAGTAACAAAGCTACGATAGTCTGTCCCATACTACACTCGCCCTGAATTTAAACTCAGCTGAAAATATGCACAACAATTACAAAGTATGTTACTGTCTTACTAGAGCTCGCCCCATGGTCGAAAACTATGTAGTCTATTGTGCAAACTTCTCCATTATTTATCCCCACGCTGCCACGCTATAAATAAAACATGGAAACTCCATAAGACAGTTTTAATTTCCATTTTGACCCAATTTACATATAAATATTCTCAAAAATACAAATAAAACCTGCACATACAGCACCGATAACCTTTCTTTTGGTACAACCCGCGTGTAAATCTGTCCAGTGGCCAGGCTAGCTGTCATAAGCTTTATATTTTGGCTCCACGAAGATTACGTTTTAGCATTGGTTATTTAATACACCGGGGTTTTATTAAGCACTGGGATAATTACGACTGTTAAAAACTGTAGAATATTTTACCGCAAAAGATTATTCTGAACTTAGAGTAATGAGAAACCCCCCAAGGACTTTTTCTGTAGTTTTTGAAGATGCGTCACCGGAATGGACGCGATGTTTGACGAACCCACGGATTATAAAATAGAAAAGATGTGGATCATAAACAAACAAATGAGCTAATGAGCTGAAAATAAACATGTTTATTATATTATTTTAATGCAACTGCCAAGTCAAATAACGTCCAAAACACGTGTGGAGATTATTAGTATTAGATTCCAGTGACGTCATTATTTTTTAAGCATACCGTTTATGTTCTAATATCCGTGGACGATCCCATTGTTGCGACGTACCGCGATCCAATAACTAACATGTCGAAACCAGAGATATTCACAACTCGCAACAATGCTGGTCAACAGCTGAGATGTTAATAATATTATCACGAGTTTAACAATAGTAAACTTTACTGTAGATATTTTTAATATTGATTGTTCGTATGGAAATGATTTTATTAAATTAAGAATGAAGAGGGAGCGTCTCCCTAAGAAAAATTGGCTTTACAACTTAGGCTAATTAACGTGGCAAAATTGAAAATGGAGATGATTTACAAACGTAAGACAAATCAGGTATATGTTTTTATAGGTTAACGAACGATAATAGGTTAATGATTGTTTTTAGACATATTTTAAATGTGACTCAGTATAAAACCTTTTTGTCTCGTTAAGCCTTAAATTTAACCTTTTAAACCACATT